TTGTTGTTTGGTATTTTTGAATACTTGTATTTTTTGAATGATTTTTTGTTGGTTGGATTAGGTTTATTAATACAAAATGAATAAAAATTAACAATTTCTTTATAAGTATGCAAAAACTTTGGGGAAATTGCTAAAATAGCACATTCATGATACACTATTTCATTTTTATATTAATCATTTTTACCCTTAAAATTTTGATATGCAAAAGATCATAGTACCCTTAATTAACTTTGTAAAAAAAAATATAGTTTAGAATTTAGGATTAAGAATTTAGGATTAAGAATTTAGGATTTAGGGTTAAGAATTTAGGGTTAAGGGTTAAGAATTTAGGATTTAGGGTTAAGAATTTAGGGTTTAGAGTTTAGGGTTTAGAATTTAGGGTTTAAGATTTCGAATTTAGGGTTTAGGGTATAGAATTTAGGGTTTAGGGTATAGAATTCAAGGTTTAAGGTTTAGAATATAGGGTTTAGGATTTAGAATTTAGGGTTTAAAGTTTAGAGTTTATGGTTTAAAATTGATATTTTAGGGTTTATGATTGATTTTTAGGGTTTAGGATTTGAATTTCAAAATAGTATAATTCAAAAAAAATAAAAATAAAATATTTTATGTTTTTGTGTTTTTTATTTATTTAAATATTTATTTTATATATAAAAAGAATAAGAGTATAAGAGTCTTTTATCCTTTAATGAAAAGTATATTTTTGAAAATGTACCCCTTCTTAAAGTAAATATAAATTAATGTAGCAAAGAAAGTGTATTTATGAAATTGAAGGGTAGTTTATAAAAAGAACAAACAGCGAATTTCGTTTTGAATCATTGGTTTCTTGATTATGCTATTGTTTCGTTTAGCACTGTAGAAAACCATCAATAAAAATATAACATATGATCATTAAGAACCTTTGTATTTATCACTAACTGTTCCTTTATATGGGTTGGGCTGGTTTTGGGGGTTTTGGTGTTGGATTGATTGTTTAGTGAGCATATTGACAGACCCGGTTCATGCAAGTTTAAGATCAATAATTGTTTTATCAAAACAACATCGTCTGCTTGCAATAGTAAAAAGCATCAGTATTCGATGATGACCATAACACTCTTTGTTTACAGGTCGAAGAATTGCAGACATCCATAAACCAAACAACCCAAATTGATCTAATCTTTTTATTCCCATTCGATAGTTGAAGGAGGTTTTGATGTAATGTCTTGGACCACACGGTTTACTCCTTGAACACTGTTACAGATTTTTCGGGAAACCTCATCCAGAAACTTGTGCTCAAAATTGAACCTGCAAAACATTTACCAATCTCAGTACAATGTCACACAAAAAACTGACTTTTATCCTTTTATCTCTATTCAGATCGATAAAGTAAGTAGACTTGAAAATCACATCAAAGAGGTCAAGATGTCTTCAAAACCAACTAAGTATTCACATCAACACAAGTAGCAAAGACCAAACGGGTTCTACATGAATCTGTATAAAGAAAAGTAAGAAGCTTACCAATCTGCAGTCATCCCATCTTGGCTTGTAACTGCGCGAAGAGCAACGACATGAGAATGTGTTCTCTTGTCACCTTGGACTCCAACTGATCTTACAGGCAAGAACACTGCAAAAGCTTGCCAGATCGAATCATAGAGACCCGCATCTCTGATTGATTGGATGAAGATCTCATCAACCTGAGATAAACCACGCCAAAACGACCAAGAAATGAGTTTGGTAAACAGGTAAGTGCAGAATATATATGTTCCAGCCTAAGGTTTTAAATAAACTTGCCTGACGAAGGACCTCAAGGGCGTTTCCTTGAGTAACATCACCCAAGACTCTAACAGCGAGCCCTGGACCAGGGAAGGGGTGACGCTTCAAGAATCCTACGGGCACATTCAAGATTCTTCCCAGCTCACGGACCTTTATTGCACAAACACAACAAAGAAACGATCAAGCAAAACGGTAGTGAAACACTTACATTTGCAGGAAAGAAGGATGTCAAGACGGACGCACCTCATCTTTGAAGAGAAGCTTGAGTGGTTCAATGAGCTTCAGTTTCATGTCTTTAGGGAGACCTCCTACGTTATGATGACTTTTAATGGTGTGAGAATGAGTCCTGTCAGTACCTGGGGGAGGGCATGACTCAATCACATCAGGGTACAGAGTCCCTTGAACTAGAAAAGCAGGTTTCTTCCCATGCTCTTTCTCTAACTTCTGGGCAAACTGATCGAAAATGTTGATAAACTCCTTTCCGATAATCTTCCTCTTGGTCTCTGGATCCACTACGCCTTTGAGTTGACTCAAAAACTGCTCAGATGCGTCTACACAAGTAACAGGTAGATGCAAGTCTCTCTCAAAAGTATCCATCACACGTTCTTGCTCCTTATACCTTTAAAAAGAAACCTTCTCAACTTAATAAAAAAAGGCATTGAAAGTGCATAACATAATGAAATGTTGCGTCTTATCTGACCTTAAGAGCCCGTTGTCAACAAAGATGCAATGAAGCCTATCTCCAATAGCCTTGTGAACCAGAGTAGCGGCAACAGTGGAGTCCACACCTCCTGACAAAGCGCAGATGACATGTTCATCAGCTGCAACGGTTTTGTTAATCACTTTGATCTCTTCTTCCATCAGATCCTCCATCTTCCAGTCCGCAGATACTCCACACACATCAAAGAGGAAGCGCTTAAGTGTCTCCATTCCTTTTGGTGAATGCGTCACCTGCCAAAACCCAACAAAAAAACCACTTAGTACAAGCTAGAAATTAACAATCTCCCCCACATCCATTTACAAAACTTCACTAATAATACTCTAATCAATTACCAAATCATCAACAAAAGTATCACTTTTCAGCCTTTTAAGTTACAATAAAAAAAAGAAGTACCAAATCATCAACAATGCTCCTAAGTTTTAAGATACAACTAAAAATGTGAAAGATACAGACTTTATCCCCCATAAACATATCCACTGGAAAAAATAATAAAAACCATTTCATTTAACTAATTAACCCTTAAACCATTGCCAATCAAACAAAATGTACCAATTAATCATTAAAAAGTCTTAAACTTTTTTTCAATTTCTTCCCAAATCTCATGAGGTTCATTAACATATTATCATCCATAAACACTATATCAACTGAAAAAAATTAACAAAAAACATTTCATTAACTAATTAGCCCTTAAACCATTGCCAATCAAACAAAATTTACCAATTAATCATTAAAAAGTCATCGACTTTTCAATTTCTTCCAAAGTCTTATGAGCAGCTAACGCGCTAAAGATTCAAACTTTTATGATTCTTATACTTCAGGATGATACTTCAACCCCTAAACCATTATGAATCAAACAAAATTTACTGATTAACCATCAAAAGTATTCACTTTCCCAACTTCTTCCCAACTCTCATAAGGTTTCATTAAAATATGAGCAGTAGAGCTAAAGATCCAAACTTTTGTAATACCTCAGGATGATACTGCAACCCATAAATCCTCCTCTCCCGATTCTCCAACGCAGCAACAGCACCCTGAGCACTCCTCGCCACAACCACAAACCCATCAGGAACCACCTTGGCCTCATCACCATGACTCATCCAAACAACCTGCTTCTCCCCAACCCTCCCTCTCCCAAAAACCTCACTCTCCCCACACTTGACCTCAATCTCCATCTTCCCATACTCCTTACTCTCCCCTTCCTTCACAACCCCGCCAAGCTTCTCCACAACCAGCTGCAACCCGTAGCAAATCCCGAGAACGTGGACGCCGTTGGCCTCGGCCCAGTCGATGAAGCCGTCGGGGAAGCTGGGAGCGTCGGGGGCGTGGACGGAGTGGGGGCCGCCGGAGAGGATGACGACGCGGGGGTTGAAGGAGGAGATTTGGGAGAGGGAGGAGGTGCCGCTGATGACGAGGGAGAAGACGTTGAGGGAGCGGATGCGGCGGGTGATGAGGTGTGTGTATTGGGACCCGAAGTCCAGGATGAGGACTGTGTCGGGCTTCATTGTTGGGGTTTCCATTGGAGAGGGTTTGAGAGATGGAAATGGGGATTTTAGGGTTTATGGTGTGGGGGAGAGGGGCTTTGAGTGAGTGGAGGTTTATAAAGAGATAGGAGAAGGAAACTAGGGTTTTTGTCATTCATTAATAGTAGTGGTGTTTAAACAAATGTTTATAGGGTATAGTGTTTATAGGGTATATAAACAAATGTTTGAATTTTTGTGCCCACATTTTTTCTTTTTTGACTGGTTTGTTTTTTATTTTTTGGATTTTTGACTTTTTTTTTTATATAGAGTGATAAAAAAAATTTCAAATGTTTATCATTTTTAAGTTTAGTTCCTTTTTTAAAAAAAATGATTTCGGTTCAGTTTTAGTGAAAAAAATGGAAATTGGTTAATACACACAAAATTGAATTTTTGTGACCACATTTTCATTTTTACTCTGGTTTGTTTTTCTTTTTTGGATTTTTGACTTTTTGATATAGAGTAATAAAAAGATTCCAATATTAATCATTTCAGTTTTAGTGAAAATTTGGAAATTGGTTTATACAAATAAAATTGGTTCAATTCCATTTTTTTAGGTAAATTGAAAAATAATAGTTTGTTGTTTCAATAAAACATAAGATAAATGTAGAAATAAAATACCAGGTGATTTAGATAACTTCATATAATTGGGATGATATTTGTCATAATTTTAGATACATAATTATTTTAAAACAAAATATAACTAATTTATGCATAAAAATAGTATTTTGGGTATTCACTATTAGATTCTTTTTTCTTGTAACACTCACTATTAGATTCTAGAACCAATTTTTGTATAGCATTTGGGTGTTTCTGAAATTAGGTTCAAATGTTTTTGTTCGGTTTGGTTCTTTGCTTTTCAGGTAAAATACTATTTATTCACAATTTCCGATTTGTCAAAGTCAAAACTTTTCAGTGAGTCAGAATCTTTCAACTTCAACCAGAAAAACTGGAAGAAAGTTTTCCATCCTTTTTGATGTATTTTGGAAACTATGATTACGAAGAGAAGATTTCTTAAACTGAAAGTTCTTTTTATACATAGCAAAAAAATGTTGAATAGTCGGTTAAGAAGTTCAGATTAATATACTCTGCAATGCATTGTTCTTTAGCTCATGAGAGATATCAAGCACCAGCCGTTGCAGAATATTTTCAACCACATCAGAGACAACACCTTCAGTTTCACCACCAAACCCCGACCAAAGACATGATGATGGCTTTACCAGATCAGTCTCAATGATCTGATCCAATGTTCTTGGAGTGTCACAACAGAGTAAACTCCAGTCAAAACGTCTCAACGTCTCCTGAATCAGGTCTTCTTCTCTAAGGTCAACTCTCAAGAAAGGCCAAAACTTGATGATGTCTTGACGGTTAATCTCGCGTAGAATCTCGTCTGCGTAATCAAGAACAAGAAGAAGCTGATTATTGTTGTGATTGCCGTGTGAGAACTCGTCGAGTAGTGATGTTTCTTCGTTGCATCTCGCCATGAGGTTAGTCCAGTTCAGTCTTGAAGCTTCAAGAACTTTCTTCACAAACTCGTGAACAGAGTCTTTCTCGAGACGATCATCAAAAGATACTAATCCAATCTTCTCTTCTACTGTTTCCTCTTCCAAATAAATCCTCTCTAGACTTGTACAAGTGTTGTCAAGAGATTTTACACTGGAGTTGTGAGGATACGGATCAAAAACCTCCAAGTCCGTGTCCAAGGACCACAATCTTCTCTTCTCCAGCTTCTGTCTTCTCTCTTTGAGTTTTGTCTGCAAGCTACTCAACTCATTAGTAAATTCATAAACCGGTGAAGAATTTGATCTCTCTTGTTGCCTTTCCACCAAGAATCTTCTTGGCAAAACATCCTTCTCAATGTTTAGCTTGAAGACATCAGATTCAACCCGTTTCTTGCGCCTAAACACCGGTGACTCTGGGCTTCCACTGTTTCTTACAGCAAAAGCTTCAGTTTCTCTAGCTTTACCGCTACATTCTGGTTTGGTTTCTGTGTTACTGTCTTTGTTAGATCCAACAACAAGCTTCACCTTCTTGGCTAAATGTTTGAATCTCTCCGAGCTTGATAATCTAGGCTTCAAGAGAACAATACTATCCAAATCATCAGCCACTGATGGAGATTTATCACCTTGTTCCAAGTCTTGACAGTTTTTAGCCGACAGAGAATTAGGATCTTGTAAGAGTGTAATGAACAAATCTTTGTTAGAACTTAGAATATCTAATGCTTCCATGAACTGCTTAGACCGGTCTTTTCCTTTCTCCTCTGCCTTGGAACTGATCAAAGTTTCAGCGGTTTCATTCATACAAACTTGAAGTTTAATCTCTGAGCTCTTCTTACGCTCTCTAACATTCTTCAAATCATTTTGCTTAGCCTTATCATCTGTCTTCTCAACTTCACTCAAAGAAGTTGGCTCACTTAGATTCTTGCTCCTCTTTATCTCTCTCTCTAGTAAACCCTGAGCAGGCTTTGATTCATAGCTCTCACCTTCTCTTTCAGAACTTAAAGATCTTCTCCTTGTTTTAGGCTTGCATGAGTTCTCTCCTTCCACAATCCGCTGAACAAATCAAGAGATTCAGTTTTCTACTTCCAAAAAGCTAACCCAAAAACTACTAATTTAAAAAAAAACTTACATCGTTACACTGACATTTATCATGAAGTCTCTTGAGAAGATCAAGTTGGCTTTTGGTATAAACATTACCTGCAACCAAAAAAGAGTCAACTTTTAAAACTAAGATCATGAAGTTATCAAACAAACAAACAAACTACTGGTACTACTAACCTGCAGAGTCTCTGATGGGTTTCTTCTCTGAACTCAGTCTCTTATTACCAGGTTTAACATGTCTGAAATCGAAGAAGTTAATCAGTTTCCAACCACAACCAGACTTGTAACCCTCGTAGAGAAGAGGGCTTTTAGGGAAAATCACAGTTCCAGGACTCTTGCTGTTTCTTGGTGATCTCCTTCTCTCCATTGATGATCAAAGAATTATAAATCATTCATAAAAACCTAGAAGAAAAAACAGAGAATTCTTCTAGTTATGTCTGAAAAATTGCTTCTTTTGGATACAGAGTTGTGTCCTAAAGTGAGAGTTTCAGTAAAAACGTCTTCTCAGTAAAAAAAAAGAAGCTTCCTTTAATCTAATAATGTAAAATTTACATGTAAATCAGAGTCAGAGATTTGCTTACCACTGAGATTGTACGTTGAAATGGGACAGAAAAAAATGCAAACTTTTTCTTTATAGAGTCAGTGGAGCCTATCAAGCACTAAGCTTTGTCATGGACTGATAAACTTTTTTTTCAGAAGCTAAAAACCGCAAACTTTTGTTTTTACATACAAAAGAAAAAGAGTGCCTAACATGATTGAGGTTGAAGATCTTTAGCGAAAATTAAAGGGACCCTTGTCTCTTCATCTACCCGTCTAATAAAAAGAGGATCTTTTTTTCTTTCATTTGTGAACTTTTTTTTTTGTATACAAGAAAGTTTGCAAGGATTATAAACGAGGATTACTGTTTATTCTTGGAGATGGGTCCTTTGCCATTAAAGAGGCTTTATGAGAAGAGGAAGATATTGAATGAATCATGAATGAATAAGCTTTTATAAATTGGAAATATGGGAGAATAAAAAATAATTGGTCAAAAGACAAATTGAAATACATCTCTTTTCTTATATTATCAGACAGTTTTCTTAGAGACTTTTTCTTTGTTTTTCAATAAAATACAATTAAATTACTTTTCCTGCAAAATAAATAAGTGAAATGAGAAAGATGGAGAACGACGTGAGAAAGAAAGCGACAATGGAAATTTGCAGATCGTTTCACATATAGACAATGCTTCCAGATAAAGCTTTTATTATTGTCATCTTCTTAACTACAAATATATATATATCGCATATGTATTTGTGAGTGTGTGTGAAACATAGTAAATATTACTGTGGGTTTTATGTGATTAAAACATTAATTTCTCACTGACAGTAAAAGGTCTGTCAATAAGTGAAACCTTTTGTCGACAGTAAACATTTTTTTTGCTCTATATATTTTTCTTCTGTAGAATTATAACCGTTGGAATCAAGCTCATATAATTGAAAGGAGTCCCTAATTGAAATAAGTACTACATTTGCCTTTAGTGATTATTAACATTATTATTATTAAATGTTCAACTTTTAATCTATATTATAATAGGTTATTTTGTTCACTCTCATCGTTCTCAGCACGTCACGTCATCATATTTATGGATCCCATTGTAAGAAAAAAAATGGATTGATCAGAAATCGAACCCATATTGTTTATTTTTCAAACAAAAATTTTCCCATCAAACTACTACGGATACTTGATATATTTTAGGAATAGTAGACTATAGTACCTAAGTTATTTTATAAATAAAATAAAATATTTAATTCCTAGGTATCTCCCATTAATCATTAATTCGCTGGATCTTCATATTCATAAAGTGAGTGTTTCTATTTTCATGAATCAGTTTTTCTTACTCTGCCTTTACATCTCCTATTTTTTCAGTTGATTAACAATAGACCACATTCATAACACATCATGTATTCCAGTTAATATATACTTTATTTAAACAAAGGAATCCTTCATATTTAATTCTCTCTTTGATTCTTCTTCTAGACGAATATAATACATCTTCTCGAAAATGACTTCATCTTTAGCTTTAGATGTTGATGGATTGATGGGTAGTATTATCATAAGAATTATACTTTTATTATCCAATCAACATTTATGAGAAAAGCATTTAGAAATTCATTTACAAGATGCTAATGTTCTCTAAATGTTATTTGCTTAAAGGTCTCATATGAAGCTTTTGGAAGATCATTTGTTCTAAGAAAATATAAAAATTAAAAATAATTATACATAATTATTCTAATGGTTGAGTTTCAAGACTCATGTAGGATCCGCGTGTTATTGCATCCGGTCAACCACATTATCAATGTGTTTTGATTTGGTATAATTATGTGTGGGCTGGTGTGAATTTGTAATTTATATTTAGAAGCTCATTCTAAAGCACTTAGTCAAAGATAACAAAACTCTGCGTTTAGGCTTAGGTTATGAGGCGTCTCTTCTGTGATTGAACTCTTTCGTCGACTATTGAACTTCAGTATGACATCCATTGTTTGAGAAAAACCAGGCATTCCCTTTCATCTTTTACCTCCCTTGTCTCTTTATCTACATCTCTTGTTTACTCTATTTCAGCGTTTTGATTTCACATGTTTAATGAATTTGTTGTTTTCATTAAACATATTCTCTCCCACGACTCTCCGTCTCCTTTTATTTACGAACCAAAATTTATTCGTTTTAAAATCAGAAAAACAATTCAAACTCTATAAATAAATAAAAAAGTTTGTGAGTCCAATCCACATACACCGACACCCTTTATTCTTCCATTTATTTGCCAAAAGCCAGACGCCTACTTTAAGAATGTCTTCCTCTGTGTTATTAGGCCTGCAGTTTACATTCTCACACAAGTGGCAAACGAATGTGAAGAAGCAGCTGCATCTGCCAACAACACTGTTGCAGCAAGAGATGATGAACAAAATCCTGCCGGTTTTGAAGCAGAAGAGAATAACCGCTAATGCACGCGTGAATGATAGTTTCAATTTGTCTGCTTTCTATTTACAGAGTTGTTATGATTTTAAATCCATTATATATATATATGATTTTTAACTTTGGTTTTTCTCTTTAATTTTTGGCAAACTCCCTCCTATGAAGAATATAATTACTAAGTTTTTATTAAGAAGGCAGTGTTGACTGCGTTTTTGCATATTGATAATGTCCACAACAAATGCATCAATCTCTACACATTACATGGTGACATGCATTTCTAAAGAAATATAGCTCATGTAAAAATTGCATAAATATCCGCTCTATAGCCATGCACTCAAACTGAGAGCATATGCAAAACAAATAAAACATAAAACAATTCATGTCTATATCAACAAATATTCATTTACAAAACCTAATCACAAACTTTTATGAATCAATAAATAATCCAATTCATTTCACAGTCTCAAAAAGAACTTTCCTAACACTTGAGTTACTCATTTATAGATAAAAACAACACAACACCAACGGTAATATCCCTGCGCTTGCACGGAGTGGACGATCCCTTGTGATTACTAGGTGGATAGTCCACACGCATGTACGGACATTGGTATAATTCATATATTACATGTATAAAAGTTATGTGAAAATATAAATATATTGTAATTCTATTTCTCCTCCTTTTCACGGTTACTTTGTTTTTTTGTATCTTTTTTTATTTATTTATTTCGTTTATCTTTTATTTTCTCCACATATTTACTCTATCTCTTTTTGTATCTTTCTATCTCATTCAGTTTATCTCTTATTATACATCTCTTGCTCTTTTTTCTTTTTTTTTTCTTTTAGTTGATCAAATAATCTCAAAATCTCTCAAATTCACATTCACTTTCTCACAATCATTTATATTTACTATCTTACCCTCATCCTTACTATAATCCTCAATACTTCAATTTCAAACTCTCTCTATCCTTCTTTTGGTTGCAAAATTTTCACCAGATTTTGTTAGATCTTCAAATTCTCTCACATAGTATTAATAAATAATTTAAAATCTATCTTACTTACTTTCCGTCACTCACTTATATTCACTCTCATATTCATCCTTATCATAACCCTCACTCTCATCCTCATCATCACCATTTCTCTCCCTCTCCCTGTCTCACATATTTATTATTTAGTGTTTACCATAAAATATACTCTTATCATTTATAAAAGTGATAACACAGCTATAGTATCATATTGACAATTATAATGACCAAATTTTTTTAAAAGTTTATATTTAAATGCTTTACATTCATTTGACATATTTTTATAATATATGTATATAGTGAGTAAAAATATTATTAGGTTTCTATTTATTAGTTTTCCTCAATCTAAGATTTATTGTATCCACTATAAATATAATATTTTAAAATTTTTTTATATAGTATCATATATATTTATATTATAAATTTTTATAATGTAATCTATGATAATCAATTGTTTCAATAAAAATGATTTTAATTGATTTAAATTTAAGATACTTGATTGTTTATTTAGTAACATAAAACAGATTAGGTAGTTCTATTATTAGTTTCATTTTAAAAATTTGATTTAAATAAATAAAAATTTAAATATCAACAACCAATCAAATTACAATAATTAATCAAATTAAGAGAATTAGTTCTAACAAAAAATCACTAAAATGACTTCTTAATTAATATATAGTAAGATTATTTACATTTATTATTTATGTTTAGTTGTTTTATAATATAAATTGTTTAAAAAAAATTTTAACTATCTTATATTTATGTAGCTTTCTATTGTACTCGAATGTTTGCCAATTAGCTCCGAGTAGTATTAGTCTTATTTTCTTCGGACTAATCTTATAAATTAGTAACGTAAAGACGCGTAAAATTCCATCTGTGTCATAACTCCGTGTCTACACGTGCAAATTTAATGTGTGTGTAACATCAAGGTTTTAATGTGTATATTTGGATAAAATACAGCTATAGAGTAGCCGATCCCAAAACGGCATGTTCTTTCGTCTTCCCATTTTATCATATTTTTGCTACCGTTTATCTCACAAGTATGTTTATAGACTTACTAAATTAAATTACACCAATTGATAAACGAGGATATCTTTATTATGCATTCAAACCCGCTCATTAACCTCCCAGTTAACTTCATCTCCTCATTACTTTTCACATTCATTGTGTCCTCCTTTTCTTTCAGTTAGTGAATATGCATTTATAAATAACTTAGATTGTATCCTTAAATTCACAATTCCATTCCTCATAATGTAAATAACGCAAAACCCATCCACAAGATTGATTCCGATGTTGAGTGATTAGGAACTGATATCAACTGAGGAAACATCGGCGTCTCTGTAAGTCATGCCATAAAAGGTGCACGTGTTATTCTTAGGAGATCAGACTGGGAGTA